GCTGCTGAAACTGACCAGCGCTGACTACAGGAAGCCCGAGGCAGAGTTGCTCTGCCCCGGGCTTCCTGGAATCAGCCGCTGACCAGTTTCAGCAGCAGCTGACTTGGGGACACCTGAGGTTCTTAAGTTGAATCTGTATGTAAGAACTGGCATCCAGATTCAGCCTGTTGAACCTGATCAGCAGCTGATTCCAGGAAGCCCGGGGCAGAGCAACTCTGCCTCGGGCTTCCTGTAGTCAGCCGCTAGTCAGTTTCAGCAGCAGCTGAATCTGGATGCCAGTTCCGACTTACATACAGATTCAACTTAAGAACAAACTTACAGTCCCTATCTTGTACGTAACCCGGGGACTGCCTGTATTCTGAAGGAATGTGGTTTTTTTCTTTTGCAACAAACAAACAAACAAACAAACAAAGCACAACCATATTATATTACTCTAGGAACCTGTTTCTTGTAATATTTTTTTCATTAAGTAGGTTCAAGGCAAAGTTTTTGGACTTAACACTTTCCAAACTTTTATGTTTTGTTTTTCAATGTTTCCTATTATTTTCATACCCTTAAGACACTTACCTAAAACATTTTATTTACAAACATTTTCAATAAGTCATGTTCTCTCGATTAGAAAACCTAAAGTTCATGAAAATACTCTTGGATCAGTCTCAACACAGGGGTATTACAAATATGTTTACTAGCTATAGTAATCAGAGAAAATATTTTGAGTTTTTTTAGCAAAACAATGGGAACCAGATCAGAGAAATTAATATGTATTAGAACTGTCAAGCTGAGAAAACAAATGAATCGCTCTGAACCTATAGGTAGAAAAACCTTAATGTGTAACAGGTTTTAAATGCACATGGGACTGGATTTAGCCAGAAGGCACATGGCCTCAATACGCTATTTCCATGGTTAAAATGCACAGTAAGGCATAATTTTGGTAGACTCTGTGTGTGGTGAACAAAGATCCCCAATCCTGCAAACACTTAGATCTTGAATTTAAATTTGGAAAATGTGGATAGACACACTGAAGTCACTGAAACGGCTCATGTTTTTAAAGTAAGCAAGTGTGTAAATGGCTGCAAGTCTGAGGACTTAATGCTGCAGTTTTCTAAAAATTCAGATATTCAAAAGTGTCACACAAGCCACAGAGAGTGCAGAAAAACAAGAAAACTTGAACATTTTGAGTCAGCTGTTGGACTTTTGCAGTCTAACCTGATGCACTAGCTCTAGTCCAGGTAACAGCAGTATGTAAGAAAAAAAGGATTGGGGAAAGGAACGTGTATTAGTTTTATCTGTAATGTATTGTAATTATAAACAAGGAAAATATGTGGTATGGGAACAAGCATGTTTTTGTATTTCAGAGCTCACAGATTGCACAGTACATGTAGGCGTCTTCAAACAGCTGGCTCTCCTGGTTACCTAACTTTCTCCTTCTGGGAGCAAAATATAGAAAAGAAAACAACAAAAGTAGTATAAATGTCAGTGTCTGAAGGTTGGGAAGAAATGTATCAGGTTCACCACCTCCAATGTCTAATCACATTCACTCTGCAGTGGAAAACTTATTGTAAACTGAAGCCATGAGCTTTCAAACATGTGTGCCTGTACATGACTTTACGCGCATAAGTAATGACAGACTTCAGTAGGCCACTGCTCATGTCAGTAGAGTTGCACACTATTTAAATTAAAAATGCAGATGGGATGTCAGTAATTAACAAGTTAGCCTATTGAAAATGTTGGATAATCTAAAAACTGAACAGTTAAAGCTTATAATGTTAATTAGGCAGCGGTTTAAAAACAAGTTTTCTATAGTCTGTCAACAGAAAGTGAAGGCATCCACTTCTAAAAATGATGGAAAGAAACCATGTGAGCCCTCTAAGTGAGAAAACATGGAAAGTAAAAATTAATTCATTTTGGCAACTCAGACTGGTACAATTGATAGGCACTGTTCAATATGTATTTTGTCTCTTGGTAGAGGATTCATGTATATAATAGCGTATAATGAATCAAATAGAGTTTCTAGGCATCCGAGAAAAATTGTTTTAGGAACAAGCAGTTTAACAATTTCAAATGACTTTCAGAAAGTTTTATTATCTGGTGTAAGTACAGATTTGCTCAATCTCAATGATAGATCAAGAAACTCTGCACACTTTTTTTTTTAAATGGGCTGGTGGGTTTAGGAAGAGTGTAGAGTGCTGTACAGATAAAGGAGAAACTGTTTAATTATTTCTTTCTAGAACTTGCTGTACACTCATGGTCACAAAATGTGGTGTGTCTAGACTTAGCTGTACACTCATATGGTCACAAAATGTAGTGTGCTGAATAATAATGTCTCATATTTGCAACTATCTTTGCATGCTTCAATCTTAATTGTGTACTTTATATGACACTCCACATTTCAGGCCCTCCTGCAGCAAAAGGAAATAATTAGTTGGTTTGAATCTGTTTTTCTTTGTACTGTTTCATAGCAAGAGCTAATATCAGACTTGTCAGAGTTTGTGTTATCAAAGTGCATTTGAAAATCAAAAGATTACAGTAGTTTTTTATAAATTTTTAAATTCTTCAAAAAAAGCATAGTTTAAATGAAACACAAATCTTACAGCCAAATCCATTTTCCTTTTTCTCCTTCTTCCCATTAAAGTCAATTTATCTAAGTTTATAAGGAATTTAGTTTATAAGGAATTTACTATCTTCCTTCAAGTTTTCCCACTTTGTGTTTCTGAAAAAGTGAACAGTGAAATGTCACAACATATTGTATCTCCAGTTCTCACTCTTTATTATCTTTTGTTTTTAGGTGGGAGAGTGACAAGCCCCAAGATTAAAATAAACTATTCTGAAAACATTGATTTTTCTACCTGACTCAGAATAATGGATATAAAAGACCGACGACATCGCTCTCTAACAAGAGGCCGGTGCGGGAAAGAATGCCGCTACACAAGTTCTTCACTGGACAGTGAGGACTGCCGAGTACCAACTCAGAAGTCCTATAGCTCAAGTGAAACACTGAAGGCCTATGATCATGATACCAGAATGCACTATGGAAATAGAGTTTCAGACCTAGTTCATAGAGAGTCAGATGAGTTTCCCAGACAAGGTATGTGTAAGGCACAACTTCTTTTTTTCTTGTTGTCCCAATAATGCCTGGTACAGTGACTGCTGTCAGTAATGTATATGCCTGCAGGCCTGTAGCATTAGAAATGCTTGTAAAATGGAGTTAGGGTAATGCTTATTACTTTGCCTTTTTAAAACAGCAACAGGGTTCCATTTTCAATTAGGAAATTCATTCCCTCTCATTGTCATGTTGAGCTGTGAATATTTAGGCTTCGGATCCTGTCAGAAGTCACTTTCTGTAAATGAGGCGAATCTGGATTACTGTTTTAACATATATTTGAAATAGAGAGGCACTAATGACTCCTAACCAGCTGTCATATTTGACATATATTGGCAAATATTATAACCTTATAGTATGTCATCTGTATTAGTCTTAGGCATAATAGTGACATTTTCATGTTGCTTTTTGTTTCTTTGATAGATTAGCAGTATTACTAAACTGAGTAAAACATTGTGATTAGCATACTATAATTACTAATCTGGTACTTATATAACTTAAATAATAGAAACGGGAAGCTGTTTTTTCTGGCTTCATTTTGTCACTGTAGTTGGCTTATACTTTATTTCATAAAACAAATAGCAGGAGGAAACACATAATTAATAATTGGCTGTAATATGTTAGGACTTCACTGGGATTCTAAAGTTCACATTAAATTTCAACTTTACACAATTCCCTTTGCATTAACACATAGGAAATTTGAATGACCTACTACAGTATAAAATTGTCTGCTTCAAATATTTATTTAGATTCTACAGAATGAAAGAGACTCTAAACTTCTCTAAGAAATAGCTTAAAATACTGTTTCTTTCAGTTCCTCACTAGATGTGTTTCTGCTTCTATTTTGTGAGTTGTCTTGGTAAAGCGAAACACAGCATAATTCTCTGTTTTGGGATTGGGTGGAGAGACATGTAACTATTGCTTCAGATGAACAATCATTGATCTGGTAAACTTCACCAAATGTTTTGCTTCATTAGAGTGTCACTTGCCCCAAAATTGTTTAGAGGGGACCTAAAAGTAAATCAGTTCCACATGAAGCATTAGATATAGTTTATTATATAACATTTTATTGGATTTATGCAGCTAGAAGCCACTAATATGTCCTCTCTTCTTATTCCCCCAAGAAGGAAGTAAATCTGTTGGTAAAGTATCATGCTAACATAGGGCTCCTCTAACTTACAAGTCATCCTTTCTAAAAGAATCCTATTTCAATAACAACATAATTCTCTACAGCACATTTTCAGCAGAAAGCTTCCCTTTCTAATTGTATCAAACTATACCTTGTTGTTAATATCGGTTCTGTTGTTCTTCTCTGGTCTTCCTTCAGTTTGTTAGTATTTTTCTGGAGAATTTGGTGACGGAAATGAAATGGATGTCAGAGGTTATTGCAGTTGAGTCATATGGAGAGCAATTATTGCCTTCTTGATGAAGTTTCTGCTCATGCAGTCCAAAAATGCCCTGGTCTTTTATGCTGCCATGAACGCTTTCACCCCGTGTCATGCTAAATTTACTGACTACGCTATGAAACTTACAATTCTGTTTTTATCCATTGGGTTCTCCACCCCCAGTTTCTTCTTTCCAGTGAATAACTATTTCAGTTTATAACCCTAGCTTCTTCAGTGTCTTTCCAAGTAACATTGAATGTGGTCCATGTTTGCATCTCTCTCTCCTTTGCGTTTCTTGTTAGTGTTTTCAGCTCCTCTCATTTACAGAGTTCATAAATATACTGCCCATTTCCAGTTTGAGATAATTAATGAAGACAGTATGTTTCCATTACTGCTCCAATCTAAAGGCCAACTTCCACAATCCTTCTCACATATATTACATTATTCTTCAAGTAAATTTATGGGACCTCTTAAGGAATGAAGTACTGCACCACATAATGATAAGGTGCCACAGGACTCCTCGCCGCTTTTGCAGATTCAGACTAACACAGCTACCCCTCTGATAATGATGATAGTATCTCTCCTGAATGCAATCATCTTTGTTGCTGCATATTAGGTATAATTGTTACAATACATTTGCTGGATTAGTAAATCCTATACTAGTTTGATGCTTGTGGTTTAAGAGTTGGTTGTAAAATTTTGTTCTCATCCTCCTTCAGATCTGGTAGTCTTCTGTGGTGGTTTTCTCTTTTTTTTTTTTTTTTGTTATCATTCCTTGTATTCTTACCCAAATAATTTCACTATCATACTTTTGTATGATGGACTTTGGCTTGATAGTTCAGTAATCCTTCTCTGCCTAGTCATTCATTTTTATGTGTGTGTAAACAAAAATCAGTTTTATAGACACCTATTATGATAGTCAGTTTTTAAATCATCTTTTCAAGCATCAGTTTTCACCATTAGGTCATAATCTCCATTAAGAAGTCTTGCTTCTAATTCATTTTCCTTGCATCTCATGCACATTGCTTTAATATTAGTATGATAATACTGTTCCTATTCTATTTAAGATACATTGCAGTTCTCTTCTCTGGTCTCTGAAATAATTATTCTCACCTATAATTTTTACTTCTGTAGTGTTCTTAATTCCTATGTGGATTATATTCTGTGGGTAATCGCCACCATCATATAGGATGCCTGGGCCACCTTTATAGTGTCCTTAGTCCTAGTATATGGGAAGCAACACACTGTTTTTAAGTTTCTGTGGGCCACAGACTGTGCCATGCCACCAGAACCAGGGCTTTCCAAGGTAATATTGCTCAGTAGGCCATAGTGTATGGCCTTGTGATTTTACCCAAGTTGATAAAGAGCGGAGAAGGATGACTCCAGTTACTTCTCACCACAATAAGGTCTGAGTTGGAGATTCTGCTGCTCTCTTATTTTTAGTGACACATGATTTTTTTTAAAGAAGCAAACAAACAAAAAAGCCACCGTACTTATTTTCTTTCATAGTTGTACTTTGATAATTCCTGGTTTTTCTTACCAAACGATCCTTCTCCCACTCCTCTTAGCTCCTAGCTGGATTATGCCAAAGATGCCAGGGTTCAGTCTGTGCTTTCTGCCCTTGCTCATGTTCCATTAGCAATGAATCCCAGTGCAGTTTGTACTGTTTGGGGGAAGTCCATTTTGCTCCCAGGTGCAAAATCTGCCTCTCTCTTTCCTTGCCTTTATGCAGGAAGGCTGAGCTCTGTCACTCAAAAAGCACATCAGGGGTGTTGCCATGGAGCTGAAGTTGGATCCTGGCCTGTTTGTCCTGAAAACAGCAAGATCTCTGCATGTTCTCATGCACTCACCTCTGCAGAGGCCTTCATCTCCTGCACTGCATCTACCTCCTGCTGGCCATACTTCTATAATGTATCCCATTTCAAGTCGGAATATGAAGGGGGTAATGATTAACTGGTGCCCAGGAGCAGCCCCACACCCAGGGCCTGCTGTGAGCAGAGAACTGTTCCAGCCTCACCAGACCTGTGATGACATGGACTGGATCAGGAGCCAGCAGCCTTGCAGGAGCTAGCAAACTCATCAGCCCTACGAGGTTGGCAGAGCCAGGAGCCCTGCGTGGCTCCGGAAATTGCTCTGTGGCAGTTTTCTCCTGTGCCTTACCTAAGAAGCTGTTATCTGGCTCTGGGATGAAGTACAACAGCATGAGGATCAACCAGGTTGGCCGTACTGGAGCTTATGGCCACAAAATACACCTTCAGAACGGTCTCATTTTGGCTTGGAAGAAGTCCCCTGTTTCACTGCTCTACCCTTCATCTGGTAGATATCCAGAAATGGGGTTTGACAATGATCAACCCAGCTCCAGTGGATCCAGAGAGATTCCTTTCACTTCCAAATACAACTGTGACATCAACACCTTCCTCCCTGCCAAACGACTAACATCAGTTTTAGAGACTCCTAAGGAGAATAGCCTGTGCTCAGGAGATCCCACTGGAAGAGGCGCAGGGAAGTCTGCATCAAATATTAGCCATTCTGCGTGCATCAGTACTGGCAAGGTTGGCCTTGCCATTCAACATTGTTCTTCAAATAGCACACATCATGTGGCTTACCATGGTCACATGTGCACCAATCCTGAAGGGAGCCAAAAAAAGATACTACATTTCACCACTACCACCACCAAAGGGACAGAATTTTTATTCTCCCACCCTCCATCTAACTCCTTGATAATACAGTCTGTGTCAGAGTGGACCAAACAACAACATTCTACCCCAGCAGATAGGAAGGGTAAACAGATAGGGCCTTGTGGGTTGAAAGGTCTTCTTCCCAACCAGACGACAGTTCCTGATTTCTAACCACTTAGCACTGGTGTCCAAGTATGACTTAATAAACTATGGAAGAATTTGCAGAGAAGTTACCTCAGCAGGCTTATACTTGATTCCAAGCAATTTTAAGGAAGGCAAGTTGGTCACGAAGTCCATACTTCAGGGTGCGGTTGATTCAGTGGACACATCCTTGTGTCTATTGTTTACTGTAATTGTAATGAGGAGAGACTCCAGGTTACATCCCTCAAGTTCCTTTAGAGAGATGTAGAACACAGTATTTACTGGAGTACTTTCACTTCGACAAATCATGCCCCTTCAACCCAGAGAAGTGATGATTCCTTACACTCACTAAACGATCTCTGAACCACCTTTTTATTCTTGGGCACCAAATACCATATACACTGATACCGTAAAGAAAATTTTATTGCTCACCACCAGCCCGAGGCTATAGAACTCCACAGTTCTACTATCAGTGGTCATACAAATCTTCTCAGAAGTGTCCTCAAGTACACAGCATTGCAGTCCTATGCGCAATACACTAAGTCAAAAGCAGTATTTCTGAATGCCCTGGAGAGTGGTCAATCACTCTGTAGGCCAATGTTTCTGCCCCTTTCAGGGCTTATCTCAAACTCCTTTTTCAACCAGCTTGGAGAGCTGTAACAACTGACTAGTGGGTCTTGGATATCAATGCAATGTGGTTACACCATCGAATTTGGCAGTACCTCTTTCACACATCCCTCCCCCTACCAATATGCTCCTTCTCCCTAGAGATCTCTCTCAT